AATTCCAACATTAAATAAAATCCCACTAAGTCAATTAATTATTACAATTAATTATTTAATAAAATTTGGGCTGTTACACTACATACAACAATGATTGTATTAAATAACCGTTGTTGTATGTATTTTAATAAAATAAAATGTTAGTACAGGCTAGAAAAACAAAACTGTGAACAACGCGCTACATAAAAAAAACAGTTGTATTAAATAACCCTTGTTGTATGTCTTTTAATAAAATAAAATAAAATGTTAGTACATATTGGAAAAACAAAACTATGAATAACGCGCTACATACAACAACAGTTGTATTAAATAACTGGTGTTGTATGTCTTTTAATAGAATAAAATAAAATGCAGCATAGAACAACAACAACAACAACAACAACAAGATTCAAACTCATGACCATGCACCACTTTTCACCACGGTTGGAAGTTCCAACCGTGGTAAAAAGTGACTTAAAAATAAATAAAAAACAAAACTTTATGTGCTAGGATTTGAACTCATGATCAGGCGCCACTTTTCACCACGGTTAGAAGTTCCAACAGTGGTGAAAAGTGACCTTAAAAATGAAAATAAAAGGAAAGCTCCTAATTGAATAGATTCTACAATGGTGAATCCTTTGGTCATGGTGAAATAAAATTCGGTGGTATTACGAAAGGTGATTTTTGCAGTAGTGCGGAGGTAGTCTTCGTCACTCCGGAGCGGTGATCACGGCGGAGAGTGGTCGTACTTCTCCCTCCGAGGGCTGTCAATGCAGCGTGGCGGCGAATCTCTCTGTCGGACCTTCAATTTATGCGGGGGAGAACGACAGTTTTTTGGCCATCCGTTGGCTTTAGTCTTCTTGACAACCGGTGAGCGTCGGTCCTCGCGAGGAGGAGTACGGTTGCGCTTAAGGGGTTGTGGCCTCTCCAACTGTAGGCGGTGGCATGGTCGTTGCTGCGACGGGATGCGAGTCTCGTACCGTTGGTGTCTCCGTGGGGGAGAGCATGGACGACGGTCTTTCTCCAATGCCCCGATCCTCTCATTTTTCTAGTGGATCAGCACGTTGGTCTGGTTGAGGACCGCGACCAGAGTGGCCATGGTCGGGTCGGCGTTGGCTGGTACATGGATTGGTTGGAACTTCTCCAACGTCTTCTCCGGAGCCTCGTTAGAGGAGGGAGAAGTGGTGTGTCTGTATCCTCTAGTTAGAGTGATTTCTTCCAGGATCAGCATACCGTTGTCATTGTCGGCATCGTGGATGGGAGTGAGGATGGTTTCGTGACCACTGTTGTCGTGTTGATTGGCCATGGTTGGTTTTTAAAGTTATATTTTGGTCTCTTAGTTTCAAGGAATGAAAAAACGAGACAACAAGTTCCCCACAGTCAGTGCCACTGATCTGACTCATTGATTAAAATATGGCCGATAACATGTCTGTAGCAGCAACAGTCAACAAGAGAGAAGGGGGTGTGCCTACAAATACTATGACGCTTAAGTTAGTCGGGTGAAGAGGTAGCAAGAAAGAGTAGAGAATAGAATACCTGACCCTCTTATAGAGGAGGGTTTTTATAGAGAACCTACAATGCTGGGCCAACGGTCTGCGTTATGGGCTGATGGTTCAGGCCCATAACAGATAACTGCCATGATTCCTACGTGGATGTAGGGATGAGTATCTCATGCTCATCGCTCTAGGTCAACTGCTCCGCATTCGTCGGATAGTGGGATAATGGGTGGACTTGCCCGTTACAAAGGGCAGACTAGTTCCACGAGGTGTGCGAACCAAGTTGATGGCGTGTCTTTGGATGAGGAACACGTGGGAAATGTCTTCTATTGGCCATAAGGGATTGGGCCAGCATTCTGGGTCGTCCTCGATGCAAGGCTCGATTGGGTTGTACTCGAAGTTGGATCAGCCACAAGCCTAGCCCAAAACACTTTGTTCTCATCAAAACCTTTTAAGGGAATGAACAAATCCTTTTCTAACACCGTGGTTTTCCTCAAAGTTAATTTTTTTTTACAGGATGTAGCCAAGAAACCAACTCTAGTAGACTTTCTAACTTGAGAGCTCTAAATTTATATGAGTAAGTGCTTATTCTATCTTACCTCATACTCTTCAAATGCTTGCAACTACAATTTCTCGTATTCCCTATAAACAAAAGACAAATGCTAAATGTTATGTTTATGAAGATGTAATGCATATGAATCGTTCAGGATCACAGACACATCATCTTTAGGTCAATCACAGTAACAAATAAGAAAAGTAACTGATATCTCTAATTAATGGAACCCCATAGGTAGAATTTATGGTTGTAGGTTCCTAGAATCATGGATCCTCCTTGAGAACATCACTTCCGTGACGAAGACTCGTCGAACAATGATACCTTCAAGATGATCTCTTCTAGATGAGATCTTCGTATCATCCCTAATGAGGAATACACCTTGCAGGATAATACTACACAACATCGACTCCAAGGTTCTAAAAGGTCCCCATGATGTGGGGAAGGGTGTGAATCATGATGCTAAAACGTAAGGTCTCTCATAATCTTGGAGTCTCTTTTGATTTTTCTAATTTTATACTTTTGTGAGTGTATGCGTGTAACAATGCACATGTAAATGGAATAATATCATTCAATAAAAGATCAAATTTGTTTTTATTTCAAAACCTATTTAACTTGTTTATTTTTTTAAAATTCAAATTTAAGTAAAAGTGTATTATCCAATAAACACTTTATATGAAAAATGATCATGGACTTAGTTTAAAATATGACTAAATGTTGGAAATGCAATGTAATGCAAATTGTGATTAAAATACAATTCTAATTCTATGTATGATGGTGATTAGCCAAATAAAAATAGAATTTCAAGATGAGTGCAAACTTAATCATATATGGGGAATTACTTGTTAATGAAATGTAAATGAATGATAATGCAAATGAGACCAAGAGAAAAGGAAAACCTTTGGTTTTTGTTACTTTTGTCAATTAACCCTATGTAAGCAATTGTATGGTGGTGAAAAGTTATTTAGGAAATGACATGGCTATAATGCAGATGACATAAACCACAACTGACAAAATCTCTTAGATTTCAAAGGAAAATCAATGTACTTAGTAAGATGACATGAAAGAGAAGAGGAGAAATTGGGGTATGACAACTACTCTCATTTAATTGCCTTAAATTTTGGAGGATGAACTGCCACAACTTTCATATCTTTAAGGTAGAAGTCAATTTACGAAAAGATCCCAAATTTTGTCTTAAAAATAGAAAGTGAAGTGAGTTCACAAAGGATTAACCTTGTTGGGGATATAAAGGGACTACCTTCATACTCCAATTAAGGTTTCGCCTTCAATGATAAGCTTATGCAAAGAAATGACAATTGACTTGTTCCTTGAGACTTAATCAAGACTACTTTTGATTACCAAACATCGAAAGTTTCTTCAAGAGTTAACGAAGTAAACTTTTAATCGGCAATCAATATAAAGATTCTTTGAGACTTAACAATGAACATACTTAACTATCAAATACAAAAGAAATTCTTCAAGAATTAACAAAAACGACTTTTAAACTGCAGGAAGATCCTTTAAGAGTTGACTAAGTGAACTTCAAACTAAGTGAGTTTCAAACACACACGCGCACCCACCCGCGCATGCACACACACTTTTTAATATGGTAGACTAAATAATTATACTTTTAAAACATATTTTTCAAGAGGATAAATTGCCACTACTTGATTCAGGTAGAAAACTAATTTTATTCTACTAATGCTATTTTTTTTTCAAGATTTTGTTAAGGTAATACATGCTGAGTTCATAATAAGCATGATGGAAGAACTCAAATTCTTTCTTGACATTCAAATCCATCAATGCACTGATGAAATACACTTCCACCAAATCAAATACACAAAAGATCTTTTAAAAAAGTTTGATATAGTTGAATGTAAGCCTATGGAAACTCAAATGTACCATAGAGAAATATGAAAGAAGCACTAAAGTGGATCAAAAGGTATACATAAATATGATATGATCATTTTTTATTTCACTGCTTCTAGACTTGGTATTTTATTTAGTGTATGTTTATGTGTATATTTCCTATCAAATCCAAGAAAATCTTGTTTAATTGTTATTAAGAAAATCTTTAGGTATAATTATGGTCTTACTAACCTTGACTTGTGTTACAAGAAAAGAAATATGATTACACATTAGTTGAATTTTGTGATTCTTACTATGCTTGAGGACAAAACATACAGAAAAAAGCTTCGGTGGAAGCTTTCAATTCCTTGGTGTTAATCTCATCTCCAAGACAAACAAAAGGCAACAAACAACTACATTTTCCATCGCAAAAGCAAAACACATATTAGCTATAAGTTGTAACACTCAACTTCTCTAGATTCTCTAGATGAAACATCAACTTGAATATTGTTGGATAAAAAAAAAGGTAAGATCTCTATCAACAGTGAGAATATTTCCGCCATTTGCTTATCTGAAAATCCTATTTTGCACTATAAAGGGATTTTAGACATTACGTTTATTGATACAATAGGATGATATCTTTTATAAAATCCTTAAATGATGATATGTTCAATTTTATAAAGAAATTTTTGAATCTTCTCCTTATAAACAGGATGATTTTTGAAGTCAAAAGTGAGATCTTATCAATAGAAAATCCATTTTTTTACTAAGAATTAAGTATGCATTTTTTAGTAGATATCTTCCTCCATAATTATTGAATAAGTGGGTTGTTAAGATAATTTTTAACATGTAGACATATCATTTCAAGGGAATGAATAAACAAAAATGTCATTCAAATGCAGAATGCATTAATCAATTTCCAATCCAAAATTATGTAATGTCAGCGGCCACATGAAATGGTCACTACTAGAAACCATAATGCTTCTCCAAATAAATATTTAATCTCTGAAATTAACTCAAAATTTGAGGTAGGAAATGAAATGAAGTAAAACAGTTATTTGAACTGGATTATATCCATATAATAGCAGAAAAATGTCAAAATCCAGTGTTCCAGTTGCAAAACTTCATGCAAACAATTCTTTAATAATCTCCGAGATTGCTGAGTATGATCCAAAAGCAGATGATACAAGGCCTACTATAATCACTGCAACACAAAGTGCTACCTGCAGAAATATGAAAAGAGAAAACAAAAACACACATGGACTGATTATCTCAGAAACTCATTAAACTTCGAAGAGCCTATTAAATGTAGAAAGTAAATTACCTGAGAGCGCTTGATTCTGCTACGCTTGATGCTTAGGAAACAAGCAGCTGGTAGAATAAGAGACTGCATCCAAAGTTGAATGTAATTTAATCCACTAAATGTTATATAAGATTAGTAAATTATGAGATCAAAATATTAAATGAAGGAAACTTACAACAAACATTGTGAGCAAAGACCCAATTAATGACATAACCAAACCTGCAAAATATTGAAATTTGCTTCAACAAATTTACTTGAATGTGTATAACAGAAGCAATAAACCATAACAGAATTCTGTTATGCAGAAAGAAGAAGAAGAAGAAATGCTTCACTATTTCATTCGGTTCAAAAGAATCAATACAATGTGTGGTTTATATACAAAGTAGAGGAAGTCTATAATAACATGCCACCTCAGCTCTTAATATACAAGAAAGAAAATATTTAGAAACTAATACATAATGTAAAGTATGTATTCTGATAAATACCTTATCATATTTCGTACTTATTATCAGTTAAATTTATGTACATAGTTTCAGAACTAACCGAAAAAGGGAACTGAAAGACCAACGAGCAGCGTAGAAACCACTAGCGCTGTTCTGATGAGGATGGAGTATAACTGAAAGTGGGGATTATTTGGTGGTATCAATTCCTCCACAGACATTGCTACTGGAGTTAGACTCAAAGCATATGTGCTGCTAATTAAGAAACAACATCTATTTTCATCTTTAAACAGTGTACGCAGAAAGATATGCAAAACGAATTCATAAATTTTTACAATAAAATCTATAGATTTAGAGATATGGAGATGTATGCGATAGTAACTGGTAACATGATTTTAAATAGCGCTTATAAAGGATATTTGGTAAATGGATTAACCACCTGAAAAGTAAAACACATGAAAAATAAAGTTAGCGATTTCTCTAATTTTTTTTCTCGCACATGTGGTCTTGTAATGTAGAGTGAGCATAGTAACATACCGTAGTCCACAGAGCAACTTTGGAGGCAACCAATTCCCGGGGCATGTTAAGCGTATACTGAGACATTGTACTTTCTCCAAACATTGAGTATCCCACAATAGCTACTGAGAAATACATTGTTGTACAAATAGCAAAACTACATGGAAAAATAAATCATATTAGATAGATTACTTAGACAATAAAATGTTGTCATACTAAATGATTGATTTCGGTTACCATATCAAGAGAACTGCGGGGAATTGGTTTCGATTTGCCATAGCTGTATATATGTTGGGGAAGACAGCGTGTCCAGCGAAGCAGTAACCATAGAGACCAACAGCAACAGGAAATGTTGAAATATTAAGTGTTGTTGTTCCTTTTGTATGCATAGGAAGATCGTCTACCACGCCAACCCATAACAAGCATAGAACCACAACAATCGTCGCAATAACTCCACAAGCTAGTACAACATAAACAACAAATCAGTGTTATAACCATAGACGATGAACTTGCCAAACAGAACTAAATCAGTGTTATAATCAGAAGAAAACTTTTTTCCTTACCCGATATGTAACTTAGAATGCGAAGGTCGCGGAGCCAAACGGTAGGAAGAAGAGCCAATGTGGTAATTATTGCAAATAGAATGTGTGCATTCAATTGAAATCCACCCAAACTCAAGTGTGCATTTGGAAATAACGAAGATAAGTTGTCACTTTCAAGAATTATGTATTCAATGCAACAAGCCTGCATGTAAAAGTACAACATACAATACAAAAAGTGTTAAATCTGAATAGATACTCTCTTAAATAACAATTAGATACATAAAAGAAATCTGTACTTACATATAATTCCATGTATAATATTACCTGCATGACACAGAAAAATGGAAAATATAAAGGAAGTTAAGAGATAAGATATAATGGTTTTAAATGAAGTTGATGGAAAATAATAGTAACATGCAAAACAGACACACCGAAATGATAACACGCCCAGTGGTACCAAAAGCTGCTTGGCCAATGTCAGGGTATGTCTCTAGTCCAGGTTCACTATCCAAGCAATAGCGCAACAGCAAGCCAGTATAGAAGGAGAACATTGAAAATATCAGCAAGACTGAAAGTGCAGCCCATCCACCTTGTTGAAGAGCATAAGGGACTGAAAGGAGTCCAACACCACAGAGGGCATTTATGCCTGCAAAACCCAAAACATTTGGCCTAGTTATTAACCTGTGCTTTCAATCACTTTCAATTTTTTTTAATATATGTTACTAGTACTTACCATTAAGCACAGCTTGTCCAAAAGAGCATTGGCTAGGAATCTGAACTTCATGAGAAATCTTTGATGGATCCTTCCGCATTGAAGACTTCCTCGATGGATGAGGAGGAAGCAATGTTTTCGAGCTCTTTCGCTGTTGTTCATCTACTGGTTGTACCAGAGGCTTTTTCAGCGGAGGTATAAATTCAGCAGTCTGCCTCCTTGTCAAGGATGAACCAAGAAAAGAACTTCCTAATCCTGCGAGTGTGAGCGATGAAGTGCCGAGAAATCCTATATTCGGCGATGGCACACTACCATACAGATCAATGGATTGCCTGAAATTGAAATCACATCATGACAACAAAGATTCAGATTTGATGAACATAACTTTGGAATTGAATTTGGACATAAGTAACCTATGAAGCATAGACACAGACACACATAGACAATAGTTTGAAAAAATAAATAAATTGAACGTAATCACAAGTGTCGGTGTTTCACACGGACACGGATACATCTTTTCTCAGAGATGTCAACGCTACAGATGAAGATGAAGTAACTGACCTATAACTTTGAGGCCACGCCATGCTGTAAGAACTTGGTTTTCTCTGTACTTGATTGTCATTTGAGTCATTGGAGTAATCCGATTCATTTCCATCCATTTCATCTCTTCCGAACTCCCTGTCTTCACCTTCTTCATCGCTCTCAATGAAAAACACATTATCCGAAGAAGAGTTCTTCATCTTCTTTCAACTCTCAATCAATCACACCCTGAAAAAATCCCCAATTTATTTTAATCATTCAAATAATTCACTCACCTAACTTTCGTAGCATCATAAATCACAAAAATATAAATGTTCAGAATTCAGATTTATATTTATGAAATCCAAAATTTGAATAAAAATCTAACTCTATTCCCTATAATAAAAACAGAAGAACATTTTACACTATAGAATTTTGGTCAATGCGAGACAAAAGAGTGTTGAGATCAATGATCACCAATTAACATGGGTCTGTTCTCTTTTTGTCTTTGTTCCAACAGATTGTGTGAATGAAAATGAAAGAAAAGATAACAGAAACACAAAAGAGAGAAAAAAAAAACCTTGGTTGAATCTTTTTGTTTGTATAGTTATATATGTTGTTGTCAGATCAGTGTCTCGGGTACAATCACGGTGTTTGTTTTGTTATGACTGAAAGCGAACGTTCACAAAAAAAAAACATTGGGATTAGTTTATACTAATTCATAAATTTATATTTATAGTAGTTATAAATATAAATTGTATAAAAATAAAAATAAAAACTATGATTAAAAATTATAATAATTTATAACCAAATCTGGCCAACCAGTGCAATGAATATACATTGGATCGATGTTATTTGCCACGTGATTTCAACGTGGAAATCATGTGCATGGATTCATCACTCTCATATGAGACAAGGATGATCTTTCTAGAATATAAAAATTTAGATTAATTTAATTGATTGTTATGCAAAAATTTTAAATGGCAAGTGCGTGATAATTTATTTATTTTTATTTTTAAAAAATATTTCTAACCAATTGACTATTCTTAAAAATTTTTTTTATTTTAAAGAGATAAAGAAAATAAAATTTTATTTAAGTTCAAATTTAATTAATAGTAATGAATTGAATAACCGTGTCACAAAATTTTGCTTATGAAAATTTTCTCTAAAAGAACTTCTTACTAAAAAAAGACTTATTTTTTAATTATTTCTTTTAAATATATGGTAAATTAAATATAGTCAAAATATTTAATGTTAGTGTATAGATTTAGTAGAGACTAGAATGGGGAATAGAATTAAATTTTGGTAGGAATGTTTTATTTGTCTAGAATGTATACGTAATGTTTTGTCATCATATTTATCAATTATCATGTTGTCCTCCATAGCAATCTTTTGGTTAAATGAATTTTTTTAATGAATTTAATCTATTTTTTTTAACATATATTATTCTTTTTTATAAGAGATAATTTATTTTTTAAATTTAATAAATAATTAATATATTTAATTTAAAAATTAACTAAATACTTTGATTATTAAATAAACTTAAAAAATAAATTATTTCTTATAACAAAACAAAAATAATATTAATTAAGGATGTTGATAACCAACTAAAGTCAAAGACTACATAAATATTCATTTATTTTGTCTAATATATTACTACTAAAAATCTAGCGTGCACTTCTCAATTTAATGGATGAGGTGTCTTTTTTTAAATAATAAATTGTTGTCGTATTGGTCAATTTACCGAAATATTTTTCAAAATAATAAGGTTATTTTTCATTTATTTACATTAAAAATCTTAGTTTCTAACATTTTTTTAGTTTTACAATGAATTTTGCTGATTAACATTCATGAATGAAATAGACTGTATGATTACTTTAGAAACATAGATTATATAATTATTATATTAATTTTTCTTAATATAAATGATTAGTATCTACAAAAGTAAAATTTTGTGTTGGACTGTTTAAACAGAATCTCCTCAAGTGACCGTAAGATTGATCAAAGTTTAAAAAAAAAATTAAAAAAAAAACTTAAAAAGTCATATTTAATATATATTTGAAACATCCCCGTTACAAAATAATAATTGTTATATATTGTAGTTGGTTTATATTGTTAAATAAAACATATTATCATTGACCTGCAGTATCTTTTATGAGTAAATAATTCAAATAGTTAAAATAAACAATTACTATTAGTTATTAAATACTTTAGAAAAAAAAATTGAAGACATTACAAAATTAATTTTTTTATAAATTTGTCATTGCCGATAAAAATATCAGTATGCTAATGCTAATATATTAATGTATTGCTTATTAATATCATCAAAAATGTTATTTTTATAGTAAAATTATACACTTACAACGTACTTTATTATTTATTTATTTATATGATAAACAGTAAAATATTATAATAATATTTTTTAAAATAAAAAATAAAAATTTAATATTTTAATATTTTTTATATTTTAATTTTTAAATTAAATGATATTAACATAAAATTATGTGATTAATTAATTTTATAATTTTATTAAACAACCTTGTATATTGTATTTGGTGTACAAAATGGGCGTAGGAACAACATACTTCTAATATAAATCTTTAAATTCTAATTTTTCAATTATCTTAATTTTGAAATCAAAGTAAAAATAGTATAAAATAATTTTTATTTAATTGTAGATGTACATGAATGTATGTAGAATTATAACATTGTTATGCATATATGGAAGGCAAGAGTTTTTTTTTTACTAGTTTGAATATCAAAGTAAAATGTAAAGGATAGATTGGAAAAAATATAAGAAAAATGTTGAAATGAGGTTTTAAAATATTTGAAAAAAAATTAATTGTATATCAGTTAAATTTTTTTAAAATAAAATGTTTTTTGAATTTTTTTTTAATATAATTTTTTTCATAATTTTAACTTCAAATAATTTGACAATTTCTTGTGATCTATTCTATTTATTATATATTTTAAAAATTTTATCTCGAAATACATTGATATTCAATAAACTTAAAAATTAATTTGTCTCATAAAAAAGAACGGAGATAATATTTAAGATTAATGGGAGTGAAAAAATCACCTTGACAACAATTCAGCTTAAAAGAACAGGAATAATTATAGAATGGTTTTCGTGCAGTAAGCAGTGATCACCAGTAACACAATCTTTGAAATGCCTCTATGCAGACAACGTGACCACCTTCAACAAGAATTTATGATAGTGAATAAAAAGATGAGGGGCCACAAAATGAGTATTCCTGAGCATCGTTCCTTCACCCACATAAAAAAAATAAAAAATATTTTTAGAATTCGAAAATCATTTCTAAACACACCGTATCCACTTAGATTTTTAAACAGAGTCTAGTATTACGTTAAAAAATAAATGGAGATGCATGCATCTTTATACATTTTTTTAATCAAATATTTATTAGAGTCTCTTCATCATCATTTTAATTATACTCTTTCAACTCACAAACTTTTTATACTCTTAAAATTTCTCAATTCTCAAACTCTTTCAATTCATAAACTTTCAAACTCATTAAATTTACTTCAAGTGAAATTCTGGTATCAGATATTAGATATCGAGGGTGATGTTCATGACACAAATATCTATTTAATAAGAACAAAGATAAACAAATAACAATTGTAAGGAGACACATCAATTGTTAAACCAGTTCGGTGAAAACACACCTACGTCTGGAGGCTACCAAGCCAGGAAACGAAATCCACTAAGTAGAATTAGTTTGAAGACATACAATAGACTCTCTCTAGTTTACCATCTTCTCACCTAATCTCTACCCTTACAATTTCTATCTAGGACACTCCTAGATATGAGACACCTCTCACTCCCCCTCAATCACAGCAGTGATATCAATCAACAAAAGAAGACTTTAAAAGACACTCTTCAAAGCCACAACTTGATCTTGCTTAAAAGCTTCAATCAAAACCAATACACTCTTGCTTACAAGCTTTGAGTGAGCAATTTACAATTAACAACCTAGTCCAATTCACACATTAAACAATGAGTGAATGGCTCACAAAACTAACACACACGAAGCTTAAACCTTACACAAATGCACACACTTTTTAATCCTTGCTTCTCTTATCTTCAAGCTAGGGTTTTCTCCTCTTTAATAGTAATACAAAATGGGCTTGGGTTGTGGCAAAAGTAATAGCAGGTTTTGAGAAGATTTCAATCTTCATCAATAGCAACAACGAAACATATTTGATTTTATCAATCAGATCTAATCAAATCATTCTTCTAATCTTCAATCAATCTTCTGAGAATAACTCCATATCAAATCAAATATGATCCACAATAAGTGTATCAGAAACGCTTTTAGAACACGACTAAAAACACGCAGATTCTACACCAAAATAGTGCAGCAAACTTGCACATAAAGAAATGGACACAACCACATTCATACAGAATGTTTAGTCCATGAGTGTCAAGACATCTTGTTTGACATCATGAGAAAAGACCTGTTAAAAGGTACAAAGCAACCTGCTGATCCTGACAGATAGATGTCACGACATCCTGTAGGACATCTTGTGATTACACCTAGTTTTACCAAAATGGATGCCAATCAAGAACTAACAATCTCCCCCTTTGAAATTTTTTGGCTAAAACACAAAACAGATCACAAGAAAAAAAACCAGTAGAGAGCACAACACAGCAGAAGAACTACTCAGTGAGGAGAGTAAATGCAAAACTCCCCCTCAACTTAAGCAACAAAACAAACACCACAACAACCCAAGCACAACAGCCCAAGCAACTACACAAAACAGCCCATACTTTCAACAGCCTTCAACAACCTGTAATGCACAATAGAACTGCCTAAGCACATAGGCAACCAAACAACCAAAACACAATCATATAGCAACATGTATAACAAAAAAGAAACAGCAGCCCAAACCTAAGCAGCAATAGACACCATCTTCAAACCAGCTACACACCTATCATAACTATATACCAAATTGTATATAGTATACAGATCAATCTTCTCCCCCTTTTTAGCCACAATTTTTAGAACAAAAATCTAAGATAAATAGCATAGATCATAAAGTTAGAAACAATCAAGTTAAGGGCATGGAGACCCCAATAAAATTACAACTTAAAGGCACATGAAGTGCACTAAATTCAGTTCATTCTGCAAAGGCAGACAAAACAAACAAAAGAAACCATAAGAGCAACCCAATACAGAAGCAGACAACTTAATCTTCA